GCCATATCAGGCACAAACCTTCCTTACACTGCAACTGAATAAAAAGTCCTTTGTTTGATTTATGGTAGAATGTATTCTGAAAACCAACTTATTGTAGCTGAAATGTGGCTTATAGATTTCATAGATATTTGTATCAAACTGATACAAAGTAATTGGTTGCATTTTAGTTATTTGAAGTGGCATTTAATCTGGGAGAGTTGAGAGGGGGACCAAAACCTACTTCTATACTAATTCTAGTCATTCAAAACTACTCAAACACAAGGAAGAAACAAACAAACAAAAAAACCAACTTGACCTCTTTTCATTCTAATTGGCGACCTGACACATTCTGACCTCTGATGTTACTAACAATTCTCCTCTACAGAGGCATGGGGGTAATTCAGGCTAACCTTTTAACAAATACTAACTGTCTAAACTGCCAAGTAAAGTTGGCATAAAAACTGACATGCTTTGTTGACTTTGAAACTGTCTAAATGAAACCAACACTGTTTAAGAAAGCAATCGGACTATTCTATTTTTTTTCTTTTTCTTTTTCTTTTAACACTGTCATTCTTGCCTAAAGACTATTCTAAAAGAGAGCTTTCTTGTCTCAAATGCCTGAATACCTCAAAGAACTGTACTATAATTATTTTTAGTATGGGATAACCTAAGTCTACAAAAAGACTATCAAATAATTAAATTCATTAAATCAGAGAGTTTAAAACAAGAATATGGTTAACATTCTTAAGCATTTGGGATCTAGACTCCTTTTTTTAAAAGCTCACTATGAAATTAATGGTGAAATCACTGTTTGCTGAATACAGTCAAAGCAGTTTAGTGTTATGAATAGGACTTTATGAATATATGAATAACACTTTCCAAACAGACATTCCTAAAACAGACTGTTTCTTATCAGCTATAAAAGGATTTGGCTCCTCAGTTCCCAATTTACAAATTGTAGGACTTTTGGGATTCTTAGTAGTAACACTCAGGCAGATATAGGGTAGGAAAGACCACTCGCGGGGTCAGAGTTACACTACCAGCAGGTCTCTCAGTCAATGGGTTTTTGTCTCTCAATCGATGGGTTTTTCTTGCAAATAGGCCACACTTACTTAACTGACTGGTTCTAAGGCTAAGCTCACTGCTTTCTGATTTGAAAGGATATAAAATAAGCCAGAATATGAAAGTTGTATTTTTGCCCCGCTATTCTGGTGACAGAGAACTATGGAGAGGATAGCCATGTTGAGAATTCTGCAACACAGCCAAAAAAGGTTTCCCCCCAATTATTAGGTAATAACAGCCAACTTGCATTCTTCAAAACCACTTACTCTCTACCAACTTTAATTACCCTTCAGAAACACTACCCTGCCTGGTCTTTAAAACAAAAACAAAATGAAAGGAGAAAAAAAAGGCAACACTGCTTGCAGGAACACAGGAAATCCATCAAGGACTTGCAACATAACCTCCAGTTTGCATTCCCAAACCAAAAACCTTTTGGTTCCATCTATGCTAAAGTCTCAATCATGTAAGCCTCTCATAAGCCTGCAACTGTAGAACCAAATACAAGGTCAAAAAACATGTAGACCTAAGGCATGTAGCTTCTCTACCTAGCCACATTCATACCCAAAATGTAAACATAAATACTATCTTCACGATGTTTGAATTATTTATTTATTTATTTTTGAGACAGAGTCTCACTGTGTTGCCTGGGCTAGAGTGCCGTGGCGTCATCCTAGCTCACAGCAACCTCCTGGGCTCAAGCGATCCTCCTGCCTCAGCCCCCCGAGTAGCTGGGACTACAGGCATGTGCCACCATGCCCGGCTAATTTTTTTTTTTTAATATATATTTTTTAGTTGTCCAATTAATTTCTTTCTATTTTTAGTAGAGACGGGGTCTCGCTCTTGCTCAGGCTGGTCTCAAACTCTTGAGCTCAAACAATCCGCCCGCCTCGGCCTCCCAAAGAGCTAGGATTACAGGCGTGAGCCACCACGCCCGGCCACGATGTTTCAATTTTAACAAGAAAAAAAATACAAAGATAAAAATACGGAAATTTCTGGACAAAACAAAAAACAACTAAAATATAGGTTTCATGTTTAAGAAAAACTGAAAATAATTTTTGTCTCGAAGCTTTCTAAGAAAGAGACTTGGAGATGATTGATTTATGTAAACACTGCCTTGTAATAATTAAAATAATAAATTATATATCTAGCTTCCCTTTTTCTCAAAACAGATATGAGTAAATGCAAGGTTGTGAAGTTATTTTACAATCCTCATTGCAGTCTTGTTGTTAGGCACTTTCAATGTCAATAGCTTTGCAAAGTCAGTTGCATTTATTTTTCTATTAGGTTCTAGAATAGAATCCATATGAAGGAAAGAAAACTGATGTTAATAACTATTTAATATTTTTTAAGAGATGGGTCTTGCTATGTTGTCCGGGATATAGCACAGTGGCTATTCACAGGTGTGATAACAGCATATAGTGTCTAGCTCCTAGCCTCAAGCAATCCTCTTGCCTCAGGAAGCTGGGCCTATAGGCATGTGCTACTGTGCCTGGCGTATCTTTTTTTTTTTTTTGGCAGACACGGTCTTGGTTTGTCACCCAGGCTGGTCCTGAACACCTAGGGTTCAAGCGATCCTCTTACTTCAGCCTCCCAAGTAGCTGGGAGTATAGATGCAAGCCACCATACTCAGCTTAATATTTTAAAATTAATGTTGCCATGAGCTTTTTTTGAACATTTTTCCAAAAGCCAACATCAGTCCTTCCCTAGCTAAATTCAGTCCCATTCTGTCATTTGTAAAAAATGGTAGTAACACATCTTTTGATCTCAAGGCTCAAATTCTGACATAGGAAAACATCCTTCACCTTTTCATGATTATGATATTTCTTTAGATAAGATGTTGGCATTTTTATTCCTAGCATATAAAAGAATCAATAATTTAAGATATTATAAGATTCTGAAGTATGAGATTTAAAAGCATAATAAACCTTGAATTGCCTTGTGCTACTTCTCAAGTGAGAAATAAAAAATAATGTTCAGAGCAGACCCAAACTGGGGTCATTCAGCACTGGCTGAAACTTGTTTGCATAATTTCCTTGCCTACCCAATTAATTCAGGCTCCTCTATAGCTTATACAGGGGTGGGAATATGACTCAAAGGGCAAAAATAAAACATTTCACTCAGATAAGGAAGGAGCAAGCTTCTGCTATATGGCCTAATTTCAGACCTCAGTATGCCAGCACCTTTTCTAACTCCTTATTTTAAAATGGAATGTAAAAACTATACAATTAATATTCTAAGTAGCTAAGCTCATTAGCTGGGGTTCAAATGCCAATTCCATAGCCATCCTGCTGTCATAACTACTACATAAAATCATTAAAAATAAAGTGACAAATGTTATCACAGAGATGAAATTAAGGTATTACATTTCTAGTGTTATAAATAGCAGCTAAGTTATATCACTTCCTGACTGCCAAATTAAGATTAGAAAGAATGTGTGTACACAATTATATTTAAAAATAAAAAACAACAAAATTTTTGGATCCAAGTATGCCTGAAACTGTTTACTTCAGATGGCCAAGAATGAGAAATTTCAAAAACCAAAAATTTACATTATGCTTGCAATTTGCTATAAAATTTCTTTTCAGAAGGAGAAAAAAATTCTTTGCATGCATACCTCCCTACTTAACGACATAAAAACTTTAACATCTGGTAAAACATTCCTATTTGGCTCATTAAATAACATCATTAAAAAAGCATAAAACTGGGCTGTCATCTATCTAACAACTATAACACAAAATTGTTCCAGGTACCTATACCACTAACACTAAGCAGCCATGAATACTTACTGATGGTCATCCTGAACCCTCAGAACAAAAAAGGAACTGCATCTTTTTTTGCATCTTTGGTGAAAGATGCCAGCACTATATCTGCATTAATGAGGAGGCCGATGGCATGCTCATCAACCTGTCACCTCACGTATGGCCCCTTTCATTCTTCTCTTTTCCAAGCATCCTGGTATGCTCAGTATTCTTTTCATAAAGATGCTTCAGAAGGCAAAAACTATTTGTCAGTAAAGCAGATCACTTTCCAGAGTTGCATTTTTTAAACTGACACAGAGAGAGTAGTTCAAAGAACAAGTATTGCTTACATGGTAGGGTTTTTTCTTTTGAAGACAATAAGGAGCTTCAAAAAATATTTCTTGACTAGAGTCCTACTGGAAATCAATAAAAATCCCTCAACCAGCAAACTGCTTAAGTTGATTTGCTTAAGTTTAATAAGCAAATACTTAACAGGTAAGAGTAACAGCCTGACTTCAATCACAACATTAAGTCTTCCTAAAAACAAGGGGCAGAAAACATCTACTTAAGCTTTCTGTTCAAACAGCTATGTAAGGACTCTTGAATATTCTTTCTTGCTTTTTGTAATCATAGCCTTGCTCAGAACAGGAAACTTTACTTTGTCAACATTTAAGCCAAAAAGCAAGGCATCCAGGAACAACCTAGGGGGAGAAAGTGAAGTTATTCATTTTCAACAACTACTGTATACTTAATCATGAACTTATTACAAAGATACAGTCTTCATCCAATCAGTCTTTTCATTATTGCTGGTTTTGAAAATGGCCAACAATATTCATTAGGTACTGTGCCATTAACATTGCATTCAAAAAAAGAAAACATGGGAAACCAAATCCTTGCTCTCCTACTCTGCTGATATGCTCTGGTATTGGCCAGAGTATGGTAGTACAAAAAGAGTCTTGTTGTGATATAAAAGGCAATAAACACGTCAATGGAATAATGTTCATGGGCAGCCAAGATGAAGAAGATTCCAAAGAGGTTGAGAACCCAGGATAAAGTGTGCAAGAAATTCCAGCTTCTTGGTGTATCTAGGAAAAGGACAGAAAGATCATTTTAAAACCGCATTCCTTCCAATGCTTCTCAGTCACACGTTTCTTAGGTCAGGCTGTTTTGCCTAGTCTTTGTAGAATTTGACACCTTTCCCACAGCCTCTTCTGAAACTAGTTATCGAATACGCACAGAAGCACTCAAGAGATACTTACATTCAGTGACAAAGAAATTCAGCATAGTTAAGACGACTGTGTGGCCACTGAACATGTAATCTCCACAAGTGTGAACGCCAGTCAGGGTCATACCAAAGCCACTCCAAATGGCAAAGGCCCGGCGTAATTTCTCCCATACACTGCCATATATCTATAAAGAAAGCTATGAATTAGTGCTTCAAATGTTTAGGGAGGTGGGAGCTTCCCAACATTCATTCCCATTGAAATTCAAATGCTAAATGACTTAGAAATAAGATCTAAGCCAAGGCAACCAAGCCCTCAGTCTAGGCTGACCTCAAGAATGGGTGGGCAAAGTTTGGTAATTAAATGAAATCACTGTAATTCAAATTCCTTTACTACAAGTTCCTTTACAATAAAAAGGCCAGTATAACACAAAAACATCTCCAACTTTTTAATTCAATATCACAGTAGTGTTTGCTTGGCTGTTCTTGCCAATAAAAAATAGGCTATGACAAAGGTCAATGGCTACCATTCAATATCCATTCTCCCCTTCTTCACTGGTAACAGAATTTCAAATATATTGAGGTAGCAATGAACTCAACCAAAACATTGCATTTCACAGCCTCCCTTGCAACCAGATGTGGCCATGTGACTAATCACGTTCCGTACAATAAGATGTAAGTAGAAGTACAAAGGATTTCTGGAAAGGCTATTTATAAAGGAAAGAGACAACAACCTGGAGGAAGTCTTTTCTACCCTTCCACCTTTCCTTCTTCTAGCCTACAACTCAGACTCGTGATAGTTGAAGCTCCAGCAGCTATATCGGATCACAAAGGGGCCTTGAGTATGCAAGCCAAGTGGTAGGATAGCAGAGCAGAAAAAGCAGAAAATCAGAAGAATCATGGGGTTCTTTTGACGACTTCATAGTTATCGTACCAGACCTGGAGTACCTACTTTAAAATTTTTTTTTTTAAAGTGACAGAGTCTTGCTCAGTTGCCCAGGCTATAGTGCAATAGACCAATCACAGCTCACTGCAGCCTTGAACTCCTAGGTTGAGGAGATCCTTCCGCCTCAGCCTCTCGAGTAGCTGGGATTATAAACGTAAGCCACCATACCCAGTGCAGACTTCTTTTATGAGAGAGAATAAACCACTGTGTGCTTATTAAACCACAGCCACTTTGAATTTCCAGTTATCAGCAGCCAACCCTAATCCTAACTCCTACACATAAGCTTAAAAAGGCAATCCATTATGAGGAAGAGTTGGAGTGATAGTTGCTTTAAAAAAAAAAAAAAAAGGGATAATCACTTAAAAAAAGGCATTTAGCACATAACAAAATAATGGTACAAAAAGTTGCTAAAATGTTACGTGCATTTACTATGTGCAAGACATGCTGCTAAGTGCTTTATGTGTTATTGCATTTAATTTCCACAACAATCCAATGAAGTGATTCAACTGCGCAGATGAGAAAACTGGCTTAGAGAGGTCACACAGCTAGTAAGTAACATAAGTACGATGTGAACCCAAGGAGTCCAATTCCAAAGCCCTATGTCTTAAAGATTCTACTATGGCTAATGACCAAAAGACACAACACAACCTTACTAGCATTAGAAATCTCACCTACTGATTATACACTGCCCAGCCTTCCCTTTCTGCCTCAGTTGAGGGAAAGAGAGAGAGAAGAATTTGTTATTGGAGAAAAAGAAAGAGAAGGTACTAAACAAATGCACATTGTTTGGCTCTTTCTTGATCTTTAGTGAGCATAAGGTTAGAAATGTTACTTTTTTTCTTTTCTTGAGATGGGGGTCTCACTATGTTGCCTTGGGTGGTCTTGAACTCCTGAGCTCAAGCAATCCTCCTGCTACAACCTCCAGAGTATTTGGGCCTACAGATGCATGGCATTGTGCCCAGCTGAGATGTTACTCTTGAGAAAGTAAAAAATCATGTAGCAAAGAGACTGCTAGGAAAATGTCTCAACCAAGGATAGGAAACAAGTGATGCAGTTAAAAGAAGGCAATTATTCCTCAATTACTCAAGTCTCCCTATCTGTTCCCATCTTAAATGTCCCATATATTCTTCCAGAAAAAAAAATAAAAACTGAAATACAACAGAGCAGAATGAATAGGATGCTTTGACAAGACAAGGGGTAGAAATTTGCTTTAAGTGCTTCTAAATTTTAAGAACAGGCATGTTCTTGGTTCTATCCCCAAACCCCCTACTTCTGGGAATGCAATTTCAAGCAATTAATTTATTACAATGAAAATGCCTACGGAGTTCACTGTAAGGGATTTGATTGCCAGTTACCATTACCTTAACTTTCTATTTTTAATGATCACTGCAAATAATACGGGTCAATAAGTAGGTTAAAATTCAAAGCAATTAACAGTATTTAGGGCAGATTTGAATAGAAATATTCATATATAACCAAATGGTAATGAAAAATAGTCACTAGAGACAGAAAAGGGGCTGTCCATACCATAGAGGGATGGTATCTAATTTATTTTTGTAGCATATGGTGCAACCCTATGCACATATAGCCCTCTCTTCAGTGGCTGTCCCACAATTAAATCCCTCAGCTATAGGAAATTCTCTTTTCAGTGTAAAAGGCTTATATTTCTCTTCTTTAAAATCTCCCTTACTCGATTAGCATACTATTTTGGGGAAACTGTTCACACCATGTACAGAAACAATTTCAAGATAGATTAAAGATATAAAATGTAAAGAATAAGACCATAAATGTATCAGATACCATCTTTCATTAATCAGAATGGGAGTGCTGGCAAGAGGGTGGGAGAACTGATATGTATACATGTTGGTAGTAGGGAAAAACTCATCTCTTCGAGTGGGCATTTTAGCAATATATATCACATCTTTAAATGTGCATGTCCTTTAATTCCATAATTTTACTTCCAATAATTTATCTTAAGGAGATAATCACATAAGTACAAAAGCACAAATGCATAAGCATGTTTACTATAGCATTGTTTATAAATAGTAAAATTTGAAAACA